AAATCTCCATACAGAAAAACACAACTTCCATCAGTCCACAGGGATACACAAGTCTCCAAGGATGAGGTGCGCTGTCAGGAAAACCTGTCACAACATTTTAGACATCAGCTGGCATCTAAAATGCCCTCTGCTGCAGAGGAAACACGTTTTTAAGCAATCACGTTGAAATGTATTAACCCTGGCTCATTGCCAGAAATGCTTGAAGGGGCTGCTTGCACAAAAAGCAGCTGTGGAGCACTACATTTTTCTTCAAATGATGCTGTTTTCTGAAACAAATGATTTTTACTGTATTTTCTAATCTATCCATCACAAGGTATCAGTTCATGCCATATAATTACCTGTTAATACAGCATCACAGGAAATTCTCAGCAACAGTACCTCAGAGAAGTGCTTCTTGCAAAGCCCACACCAATTAAAATATACCCAAGATTAGCCCTGGGATTTATTCAGCATTGTCCGAATTTAAATCGGCTTTAAAAGCAACTCAGTTAAAGGGATGCAAAAACTTGTCATGTCAACATTCTTAATTTAATTTAAATGTTTTTAAACTTGATATTGATTTAGCTTAACTCCAAATCAAATTAGTGTTCAGACAGGAGCCTTGACCTATTTAATTAACTTATTTTTAAATACTATCTCCCATTTCACAGCTGCAACTTTCTGCAAAAAGCTGCAAAAGACCAAAAGGCAAAGCAGGCCATCTGCCTCACCAGTTGTGGCTAAGGGTTTCTCCCCTAATCCCAGTAAATGGAGTCAAGCACTGAATTTTTAAGTTTCAATATTACTAGGGAAACATTCATTTTTTCTAAAACAACGTCTTCAGAATAAAACCAAAAGAAGAAAATCTATGAACAGGATGTTTTTAGCTGCATATTACACTATAGAGAAGGAGACAAATGTTCCCTTGTCATTCAACCCACTGCTAAAGATGTAAATTCTTCTTTACCCATGGTGGCAAGGCTTGTAAGAAGAGAGAAAATCTTTATCACGGCAGCTGATATGGGGGAAAAAAACATATGCTTTTGGGCAGAAGCCCTTTGTTCAGATCCAAAATAGCAGTAGCAGTCTTAAAAGTGAAACCTAGTAGATTATGCTAATACATACAACTAGATTATGTAACCAGCTAGATAGTCTGGGGAAAAAAAGCACATTGATATCTATGGAGCAAAGGAAGGGATAGCAGAGGAGGAGGAGATTAAACACTATCTCCTCTGAAATATACAAAGAAAGCAATGCGTAATTTATTGCCTGCGGAGGGGTGAGGGACAGGAAATTGTATTCTGTGTCCCAATATCATTGTCAGCTCTATAGTTCTTGGCATTCATTATGCATTTTAAGTTCCATGATGTCTTCTGAAAGCATTTTCTCAATCTCCCCTAGGAATCAGGGTTCAAGGGAGGACTATATTTATTTTCAACTGTAACAGGCTGTTGCAGAAAGATATGTGGAAAGGGGAAAAAAAAAAAAAAGTCATCTAGGATATTACCTTCCTTACTGTCCTTTTGCCTTTCATCTCAGCTCCTGATTGCTGGGCCTAATCTCACTAATCACTGGAAGTATAAGAAAAATGCAGCTGATTTCCTTTCCTGGCCCAATCAGTCCTTCAGCAGGTGGTGCCCCTGAGCCTATCCTACTCATTTTATCTGGAGAGCAATAAAGGACAAGTCTCACAGCCTCTTAATTCTTTGTCTATTAAAAGATACAATTTGCTTGGAGAAGGCATGAGTCTCAGCACGACAAATACATGTAATGCCCATAACTACAAGGTATCAGGAGGATATCAAGGTATCTATGTCCTGGCTCACTGAGAGAGGGGGAGCACAGCCAACATTGCAATACTCCTTACAGATGATGGAGATCATGGGGAGACACTCTGCAGGCGAGCAGGCAAGAGCTGGAAATGGGTCAGGACTGCCGATACATACATTATCGGGCTGTTAATAGCGTGAACACAGCTGACAGCATGGTGGCATGATTAACACCCCTGGCTGCTGTGGGAGATACCGAGCAGCACTTGCTAAAATATGTGGGAAGGGCTCAAAGCGTTTCTCCTTGAACAATGAACTTGTGCTGAGGACAGGAATGAGATTCACGCCCAGATCAGTGAAATACCAGCATGAAGAAAAAGGCTAGTGCTGCTGCGCAATCTGCAAATCAAAGCACACAGAACGCTACTACACTGATAAACCATCCTCACCTCTTGACACCTGGTTTTAGACATAGCATAAGCAGCGTTTGCCCTGAACTTCAGCAACTGGAAGTGCTGAAGCTCCTTCGCAGTGTTTTATGTTAGACGTTTACTTTACAAATTAATGCAAAACAAATGCTGCATCCTAGCAATTCGCTGGGTTCCTTAGAGGACTACTTGCAATCCCCCCTCTCTCTCTCTCTCCCCACCATACAGATACAACAACTACTCTTTAGGGATGGTTCTATTTACGGGTGCAGGAAAGCGATGTATGCTCGCAGAAAACTCCCCATCCGCCAAAAGGTGCTGGCTACTTAAATGACTCCAACGGCGTAATTGCAGTGTTGGCACTTAAAACAAGCTGGCAGTTCTGCAAGGGAATCCCTTTGTTCTCTGGCTGCCTCTGCGTGACAGCACTTGGAGGGGGCAGTGCAGAGAGAGAGCCCTTCTCCGCTGCCAAGACGGAAAAACGAGGGTTTCCCTGCAACTCCCCGACGCCCTCCTGCCCTCCATACCCGCAAGCCCTGCGCACGCCCCTCCTGCGGACTCCACCTCGGAAGGCGCCCGGCTCCATGCGGCGGCAGAGCTGG